ATCTCCTTTTAAGGAGTCACCTAACTGTAGTCTGTCGGAATTGGTCCCAACAGACTACTAGTTCTAATTTTCTTTCCTTCTCTTCTTTTCTTTATTTCACTTGTAGATACTACATATAGGAAATAAAGAATAAGAGTTATTGAAATCCTACCCACCAATTGCCCAATTAGTGAGCCTAGAGTCCTCTTCCTGAGCACCTACCCTCACATTTGGGGGCCTCATCGTGTTGAAACCCAATTTCAACCTCAACTTTTGCCAAAGTGTGAGCTTTCATACATCTAGACAAAGCATAAAAATAAGTGTGATTTAATCACAAATCAACCTACTCAACTCATAAAAAATAACACCCTTATCAAGTACTACACAACAAGCAGAACAATCATCAATAAGTTGAGCAGCGTGATTTAATCATCAAAACACTTTACTCAATACATAACAAAACACCTCATTTGAAACTTTAGAGTTAATCAACAATCTAAGGAACCTTTCATATTATTCTTTTTATCTTGTCACCACTCAAAACCTATCATTATTGTCTTGTTGTATATCTTGTAAGTAATACGCTGAAATTAGTATTACGAGTACTTCTTATAAAAGAATTATAGGGACCCGAAGGTATTAACACTACAAATCAACGGATCGGGTATTGGATTACACATACAACTAGCAAATTTCGAAAATCCTTACAACATATACATATAGTACCAGACGAACGAAGGACGATAATCATATCAAAAGCATCAAAGGAACACAATTTCAGTATCTTACAGTGGACGAACAAAAAGAAAACAACAAGAAAGGAAGAACGAACAAAGGAATCGAATCAAAATCGAAATCAGTTTTTTTTTTCCGAGATCGGACGAACCAAACAAGAATACTTCGAACAATAAAAGTAAGTACTTCCAGCAAAGAAGCAAGCCACCTTCTGGAAATCATTCTATTGATCTAATCAATTAAGAGACTCATTACGATCTGAAATACATTCTATCATCCAGTTGTGCACACAGAGGTGTTCTAATCCTACATATCACCGCAAAGAAAGAAACATTCGACAAGGACTCCTAACAACAAAGTACACAAACAAGACAATTAAAAGTGAGTCAAGTAAGGATAACTGTAGAAGTTCCGAAGGACAATAATCACTGACGACACCTACGTAGTGCTTTGTGAACAGACCTTTGTCGAAATAGGAGCCGACGGACAATTCCCGTCTTATAAGAAGTCTCTTCGATCTGAATTCAACCTTTCCTCAAACAAATCAGTTGAACATCAATCGAATTGTTATTTTAATTATAATCGATCAACTTCAAGCTTTAGAAAAATCTTTGAACTTATTAAAGTCATTTATAAACTAAAAAGTAAATTAATCTATTTTCTTTCTTTCCTAACTTATATAAAAAACAAAACAAAACACTATCAACTATCTCGATCCTTGCTCGCAGAAATTTTTTCCCTTTAATCTTTTAATAATTTTTTTTTTCTTTCTTTCAAAGATTGATTCATACCAAAACTAACATAACATCAATTTTATTTGCCCCTTTTCCCTCTTCTCTGCATCGTTCCGTCTTTACTCGTGATAATCCCAAATCAACTATAAGTGTCGTTCCCACACCTTTTTAACTCCTTAGACTTAGCCAACCACGGGACCCCGCAGAACGTGCAATCGGGCCATCAATCCGTAGGTGGTAATTGAAGTCAACGTTCTACTCCTGCCATCAACGGCTCTGTCCTTGAATTTGAGGACGCGTACGGCAACGTTACCCAGGAACCTATCGAGATCGATTCGACCATTGTGACGCCAATCCCCCAAGATCCCTTGGCAAACATCGACATCGAGTCTCCTGGATCAGACGTGACCGCGAGAGACAAAGCAAGAGCACAAGGACCCTCACCGGAAGTTTTAGCAGCTCAATACAATAGTAAATCAGTGTTTCACACCGTATTCCTTCTAAATCATCTTCATTACCTGAAAATCAGAAATCATACTGACATACTGCTTTTCAAATTCTGTTTACGTGTTGTATCTCCAAGATCACGACCAACATCAAGGACCAAACCAAGTCCAAGGTGCTCAACCATACCGTGAGTTGGACATATTAAATCTAACAATTTCGTTATCATTCTTTTAGAAACAACAAGAGTAACTAGAATCTAAAAACAAAAATCTTTTTTCTTTCTCCTCGTTACCTGATTGTAATAGAACAAAACGATCAAAGCGCTAGTGGTCCGGCTCCTGAGTACAATAATCACGGACACTGTAAGTTATAACTGATAAAATTTCTTAAATAAAAATCAAAATACTGATTAATCACTGTTCAAACTCTCAACTCCTACCATGTCCAATATCAGCTCCTCCAGTGCAAGAGGCTCAACAAAATCAAGGAGGTCAGTCGAACCAACCTCACGATCATCAAGGAGGACACCAGTGGAGCTCTTCCCACCATTACCAGCCTCAGGTAAGCCTGACCCGAAATTGGTTGAGAAATTTACTAAAGAAACGGAAACTAACAAGAATCAAAATTCTACTTTAGACCCAACAGCAGCAAGCCGGCTATCATTACCAGCCGAACTATCACCCCAACCTTCC